CCCCCTAATTATATACCCCTATATATTGAAAAACCTTGTCGATTTTTTAGTGGTGCATGTGATACACCCTTCTATTTACTCAACATAATCTAATCAATTTAATTAAGAATTTTAACTAATAATAAAAAATAATTAAATAGGTAAATGTTTGGGGGGTTAAAAAATCAAAAAAGGAGGGTGAAAGGATAAACACATGGTCATATGTACAAAAAAAAATTCTCTTTCATCTCCTCCTATAATGGCTACGCCACGTCTCAATCGTGATTTTTGCCATTAAGCTTTGATTAAATACTGAATTTTTCCATTAACCTTCGATTTCACTGGGAATTTTAGTTTAATACAAGATTTGGGATAAAAAAATAGGGTTTAGTAAATATTTCAGTCAGGGTTTGGTAAAAACTATGGGCTTTTGGTGGGCTAAATAGTGTTGAAAGAAGAAGACCTAAATAAAGAAGAAAGATAATTTTAGAAGAAATAAGAGAAGAAATTTTTTCCAGATGAAACCCATAAGAAGGAAGAAGAAAGATAAAAAAAAATGAAGAAGAAGGCTAGTATATAAAGAAAATAGAGGGAAAATAGAAAAATTAAATTTATAAAGAGCATAATAGTAATTAACCGTTAAACATGGCCAATTGGATCCATTTTAATGTATAATTTCATATCGCATGCTCCTTTTGGCGAGTTAACTTACACATTTCATTAAAAAAATCAACGAGAGAGTTTTTAATATATAGAGGATATAGTTAAGAGGGGTTTTGGGGTGACAAAAACGTGATAGTTTAGATGGATTTTATGGGGAAATTTTATTTTGTGTCTCACACAACTGACACTAGTTGTGTGAGGCCTCTTTTTTGTCTCACAACTGTGTGGGTCCCAGAATTTTATGGAAACAGATGTGTAAGATATGGGTCCACAAATATGTGTTATTTGTGTGAGACCCAAAATAAAATCACTCGATTTTATGGTATTTACTCTTTCATTTTTAGATATCAGAGTCTCTTCCATTTTTCACTCCAAATTAAAGCATTTTGGCGAGAAATCCAACACCCAATGCAAAGTTCGTCAGTTCAATTCTCCACTACGAAATTTGAAACGCTCACCTTTTCGGCATTTAGCAGAAATGTCTCTGCATTTCGTTCATTGTAGCATCTTCCACTATGGACCAACAATAATGGAGGTAAAGCTTAAGGTTCTAATGCTATTAATTAGTTTGTTAATCTGATTGGATGTAAGTTATTCTTCCTTTTTTTAATTTCTTGATGCAAAAAATAAGGTAAAAGATCAATAATCCAGCAATAAACTACTGGTAAATAATAATTCGGCAAAACCCAGTATATATTTTGGGGATTAGCTAGGGTGAAAGACAAAAACGTCCTTATTTTTTATGTGCTAGCACAATTTTTTTTTTGGAATTGAAAAATGAGCATGATATTAACCTACTACACTCATGTCTATATATTGTCGTGTACATATATTTATGAGCCAATGACTTGAACTTAGATACGCTATTTATGTTATGGTGTTTCTTAAGGCAAACATAGAAGAAATATAAGAAAGGTACTTGTTCGAAAATACGTTCAACATACTATAGGAAATAAAACAAATGCCTCCTTTTTTGTCTTTTTTTTTTTTTTTGATTTGCACTTCGAGTCTCTAAGAGCCCCGACTAATCCCGGGTGCACAGGCCCTTGGCAAGGAGTTTCCCGCAAGCCTCCTTTTTTGTCTTAATCCTCATCTTATTCAAACTAAAAGGAAGTCCATCTCATTGACTTATTTTGACATTTGCATTTTACTTCATATGCAATCGATAAGTAGGAATCGCCATTAGATGCTGAGCTCTAGCTGTTACTAATCCAAATTTTTCCGTCATGTCAATATCTTTTGGCAGCATACCGTTTGGTAGCTCCCAATCAAAGCAATGAACCAATTGTGCGATCACCAAACGGACGATGGTGAGCCCTAACTGCAAACCAGGGCAGCCTCTTCTACCCGAGCCAAATGGTAAAAGTTCATAATTTCGTCCTCTGAGATCAACATTGCTTCCTTGAAACCTCTCAGGTTTGAACTTTTGTGGCTCAAGCCAAGTGTCTGAATCTCTCCCGATTGCCCAAACATTAAGCAAAAGTCGCGATCCTTTAGGTAAATGAAAACCATCAACCGTGCAATCTTCAATAGACTCATGAGGAAGCAATAATGGTGCAACTGGATGGAGCCTACAACCTTCTTTTATGACCATATCCAAATACTCCAGACTTTCTAAATCTGATTCTTCCACCATCCTGTTTTTACCAACTACTTGTTCCAACTCATTCTGGACTTTTTTCATCACTTTAGGATGCCTTAAAAGTTCCGTTACAGTCCATTCGATTGTTGTTGATGAAGTATCCATTGAAGCTATCAGCAAGTCCTACATATATAAATCAGAAAACTCAGCTGAGTTTGCTTTCTACCATCCAGCAAAAATATACACATAGAATAATTGTCCTACCACTATTTCCATATAATTTCAGAGAATTCCACTAAATTAGAGTTGGTCAGTCAAGTAAATATTTTATTCTTAAATTTTCTTATTCCTAGATTTTACCACTATCTGTTGTTTCTTTCGTCTTTGGTTATCTTATCTTATTGCCTTGCTATTGTTACTGCTTGTGTTACTACTTTCTTTTGTGTCTTTCCTTGAGCCGAAGGTTTATATGAAACAGCCCCTCTACCTTCATAAGGTAAGGGTAAGGTCTACGTACACACTACCTTCCCCAGACTTCATATGCTGGATTTCACTAGGGTATGTTGTTGTTGCATCATAGTAGTAGACTAGCAGCAACAGTAGTAGTAGTAGTAAAACGGTGTATAACTTGAAGCAAAGTTCACTATCATTACATAAACAGAACTATTTGTAACCTTGTTGACCTATAGCAAGTGAAATTATAGAATGAATAAAATCATTTGTAGAAATAGTCAAAGACTTTGTGAAAAATTGTTATATCAACATAAGATACTAGTTTTGCAGCATGGGATATATGATAAGATAGCTTAATAGTAATATTTCAAAATATTTATAAGCTCGAACTAGAGAATGAATATATGTGTTTTATGTGTTCCCGTTTTCTTAATACCATTATCCTCAAAGGGAAATAAACTTGTACTACTTGCCTAATATTTTCAAAACAGATGTGGAATTAGAGTGAACATTACCAGCAAAATAGCTTTTATATGGCGACGATCAAACTCGAATTCAGCTTCTTTAGATTGCATAATACTCATCAGTGTATCGACCATGTCCTTTGCTTGCTTCTGCTCAGTGGATTGAACATGTTCATCAATAACTCTCTCCAGGAACTCATCAAAAAGCTTAGCTAATTCCTTCATACGACGAGCAAATCCCTGGAGATCAAGAACACGAAGAAAGGGAAAGAATTCAGCAAAATTTGGTAATGCTGCTATGTGCAGTATATCTTGAATCAGAGCTTTGAAACCCTTATCGCCAAGATCCTCGTCCATGTACTTCTTCCCAAATATCATCAGACAAGACATGTTCGCACTAAGAGATGCAACTTTAGCACTAAGATCAATCACAGTGCCTTCAGATGCCGCATGTTTGAGGAAATTCACAAGAATTCCGAGTTCTTGTTTCCTCATAGGCTGAAATTGATGGATCTTGGCATTGCTTAGCAATTGCAGAGTGCACAATTTGCGCATGTTTCTCCAATATGGTCCGTACTTGGCTGAGACCAGATTCCTCCGTTCATAGAAAATGTGCTGAGGAACTTCATTATACGGTCTGCTGGCAAAAACCAAATCATGATTCTTCAAGAACTGTTCTGCTGCATGAGGAGAGGAAGCAACAATGACAGGTACAAGACCAAAGCGGATAGTCATTATTGGGCCATATTTCTTGGCTATTTTATAAAGATCTTGGTGAAGATTCTCGCCTACCATGTGTAGATTTCCAAGAAGTGGAAGCCCTCTTGGCCCCGGAGGAAGTTTCTTCTTATTTTTACTGAACTTCTTCTGCAGTTCATGAAGAAGAAGAATAAACAAGGCAACTACTGCAAGAGCTAGCCAAAGAGAAGCCATGGATGGAATCCACACCCCTTTTTGCTACTACTAATTTAGTTGTTGAAAAGGTGGTACTTATAGCTCTTTGTGGAAGCAGAGGAATTGTGGAGGAAATTGGAGGGGTGAAAATAGCTCACATGACAAAAAGGCAGAAAATCTTATTTAGCGAAAAGGTAAAGAAAATACTCCTTTATTTACTATTTACTTGGGGAACATAATGGTCACTTATTGACGGTTATATTTAAACAGCGAAGTTCATAGACAACTCTTTAATCTTGTGCACCAACTTCAAGTAGACATTTTAACTATGCTATATCTTTTGAACACTTGTGTCTATGAGACAATCCGCGTGATTGTTTGCCTGTTAATTCAACTAACAGTTCGAACCAAGAAATGAAATGACAAATGTCGTATGAGTTAACAAAGACTATGCAGGACCGTGGCCATAAGGGTCTTTATGACACAATAAATAAAATAATTCGGTTCATTTTCAATTAGCGTTGCTCTAGCTTCTTTAAGGGTTATTAATTATTTGGCAGCAGAAGACATGTACCCTTTACATGCTTATGCATTCACTTTAATTAGCATCTTGTGCTCTCTTTTGTAAAAAATGGACCATATAGAGGACATTTTCGGGTGTATATAATATATATTATCATCACGTGAAGAAATTTTAATGGCTGAGAAATGAATGTACTGCAGCTCCCTGTGAATTTTTATGCTACTTACCAATTTTGATCTTCTGTTTTATATGTCTTTGTACGTGTGTGTAGTCTATTCATACGTGAATCATAATTTGTCAATTGGTAGTAGTTGGTTTCTATATATGGCTCTGCACATTTTGTTAGGTTTACCTTCCACTTGTCACTGGACAAATTCAATGTACTCTTATCAGTTTGTATACGGTCAAAATCAGAGGCCTCCGATTTACAGGATCGAGGGTCCATCATAGGCCCGAGTTCAGGCAAGATCGAGTTCGAGATCGGTGGACCAGAGACAAGCTCGAAGACAGAGTGCAATGCCCGGAGACAGGGTACGAGGAGGACCAGGCCCGAGTATACTCGACCCCGAAATAGTACCGTTAGGAATTTGTAACGGCTTGAGTTAGATCCCTGCCACATCCTCATAGTCGCGGCACAAATCCCGGAACAAGATTGTACGATTCCGCACTAGACGGTTAGACATCTATATCAAGAATATTCCCTACTGTAAATAGAAATATTCCTTTTTTAGGGTTCCCCTATTATATAAAGGGGACCCCAATTATTTGTAAGACGATCTGATGACTGAGCGAAGAATAGACTCTCTACCTTTTTCGCCTACTGTTTATCAGCATTGTCCTTTAGCTCTATTGTTCTTACTTTACTTTTATTATTTAATTGTTCTTATAACACCAAGCTTACCTTGAGGTCCCTGGGCTCGAGGTCACTATTGTTGGGTAACATTGGTTTGATTCACTTTTCTCTTTCGTTTCTACTTCATACTTCTTGATTATTAATTGGTATTGAAGTAAATCACGTATCTTTAAAACCCCAAATCAAATTTAATTGTTACTCGTATTTTCGAGGTAAACACAATTTCAATACACGAGTCGTAATCTTAAACTAAAAATAGGTATAACATATCAAATAGTATTGTAGAGAACCAAAGCATTAATATAAAATGCTCAAATTACTAAGGAAAATTAGGAGGACTTGGCGAAAACTACTGCTTAAGCATAATGCAGTGATTTACTGATTAAATATTGGAAGTTCTTTTAGACCATCTCTACGAAAAAGTGAAGTACCTATATATTGAATATTAAACATTATTATTATATATTGAATATTTAACATTATTATTGTAAGTATATATTCCATTCGAAGGTTTCAGCCAGAAAAAAACAGAAGGTGAGATTGCTGTGCCTTATTTTTGACATGAGAATATGGATGCACGGAAAGGAAAGGGACAATAATTGATAGAAAGAGATTATAGATGCACGTTTAAAACTTTTTGTTTTGTATTTTGTTTGTTTTCAAATTTTTTAAAAAGAGGACAAAAAGAACGATTAATTCTTGACGATAATTCTTGACAACGAGGGCAGGTTCCTAACTTTCTGTTCATGTACTAGAATATCCGGATGAGTTCAAAACCCTATTACTATATAAGAAAAAAAGGAACTGAATTTCTAAAATGAACCTTTTAAGGTGCAATAATTTGTTAATTAGTACTCCATAATCACAGACTGAAAACATTTTTTTGCATTGCACCGAATAATATTTTATCGATAGGCCACTTACAATAAGAATTAACGGAAAGAGCTCTTTGTTTAATTTTTGCGGCAATTAACTATATATAACAAGAAAAGTAAGACAAAAAATTGATCTTATTGTTAATACTTGAGCTCTATTTTTTATTTAATTTATAGCGATAACTATAAATTAATTTATAGCAATTAATTATCTCTCCTGAAATTCGAACCTAGCTATTTGAAATTGTTATCATAAAAAATAAAAATAAAAAGATTCTTAGAACTCACTTTTAATAATGACGATATAAAATGGATCTAATTATGCATAATATGATTTGCATGTAATGAGGTGTGGACCGCTACATAAACAAGATACATGGAAAGAAGATATTAATGACTGACAATAGCAAGAGGGTTAAATTGCGAAAAAAGAAGTTCAAATCATTGCTGAGATTTGAAGCCACACAAGGAAAGAAGACAGTGAGATGGTTCGACCTCAAAAAAGAAAAGAAACCCAAGAAAATCAAAGTCACACAAGAAAAAGAAAAAAAAAAAGGAAGCTGAGGCACAACTATACAAGAGGAAGAAGAATCTGTTTGAAGGCAAATATTTTAAGCTCTAACCTTATTCTTGGAAAAGACTAGACATATATTAATATTTTCCAAGATTCAAATTCTTTGGGTTGCATATCTCTATCCATCCGAGATCAATGAAGTTACACAAGATATATAAGGAAACTTTACCAGAAATCAAGAAAGATATTCTCAACGAATAGCTCAAATCTACAGGCTACATATATATATTGAAGAAGAGAAAGACGAAGATGTATACAATCGTCTATCCATTCACAAGTTCTTTGTTTACTTACCGTAGATTTACTTTGTATCAAAAGAGAAAAGAGAGAAAAATATTAGAGATGCATTGTATCAAAAGAAGTGAGGGAAAAATAGATTGGTGAAAACATTGGTGGTGTGCGTAGGAAGTCCACCAAGTATTGTACTCAAGTAACCACAAGAGTTTTCAGATATTCAAAATCTGCCCTAGAATATTTAAAATAAGATAACACTAAAGAAAGAATTCTCGAGCCGTCGTTAGTCGAGGTGGACCAGGAAGCAGCAAGGCTCATAGCCGAAGAGTCGACGTGAGCCGTGGTCGAGATGTCAATAATGGTCGAGGTCGAGTGCCGTTGATGAAGCTGTAACGGCTAGTTTTCGAAACAGGATCTTAAAGAGAATATTCTAGGGGATATTCTCTGCACTTGTACAATTAGAGTATACTAGGAATATGTCTCGTATAAATAGAAAAAGAGATAATGACGTGGGGTATGTGATATTAATTTGTACGAACACACTTTGACAAAAAGATTCTCTCTCTTACTAAGATACAAACATCACCTTTTCACTAAGATTCTGATCGATATTATTCCATACTTCCATTAGATCCGAGAATAATTTGAACATACAAGGATTTGTCTGTCACTCATCATTGTCGGGAGGGACAATCATCTAGTTCATCCTTTGGGTGAATCATTCCTCTTATTTACTTAAATGTCATTTATTGTTATTCATTGCTATTAAATGTTACATTATTACTCATGCTTTTTGGAATAGTTATTGCATATCGATATATGCATTCGACCAGATCTATCTAAAGTTTATCACTTTCTCGGAAGCTACATCTAGAAGTATTATTGTTAACTCAGTTTAATCTATAATCACATAAATTTAATTATTTGACCCAAGAGTCATATTTTTGGGTCAAACAATTTGGCGTCGTCTGTGAGGATCTCTTAGTTAAATTTTTAGTTTCCTCTAGACCTACAACTAACACGGGTCACTAACGTCACAAAAAACAAGATCTCATTTCTTTGTGTACACCCAACATGGTAGGTAACCAAGAAGGAAGGACGAGGATAATAAATGACCTCCCGACAAACCTCATGAATGTCATCAACGAAAGCTGTGAAACGGCAGACGAAGGCGCGACACCCAGTGCCTCCCCTATGCGAGATGGTTCACCACCCCCTTACTACAGCATCACAAAGTCTCGTGGTAAGGGAGCCTCCACATTTGTGGGGAAGAGACGCCCCCAGCTGTAAAAAAGCTCCTCGAAGCGTGGCTAACTGACACGCTAGTCAGCGTACTCAACAAGCCTACTCGAGACGCGACTACAGAAAACGCAAGTACTTGCATGATACAGCAAGCGGACGAGCAGTGCAACCAGCCTTTTCCTCCAATGACAGGTATTACTCACAATGTCATTGATAATGCAGGTGACAACGCCCTTGCAGCCATTCTGAAAAGGATGGAAGAGATGGAGAACGAAAACAAGGCACTCTGAGACCAAATGAAAGAACACCAAGAAAGGGTCGATAAAATACCGGGCACCCCTAAGCTATTGCCGAAGAGGGATGACGGCCGGTTCGTCAAACAGTCGTACAGTGATGACGTCGCCCCACATGCTATGCCAAAAACCTTTAAAATGCCGCCTTACCTCGGAATACATGACGACACAACCAACCCTTGAGATCATGTGACTCATTACGTCACCGCCGTAAAAGGCAACGACCTCGCCAAAGAACAGGTGTCTTCCATCCTGCTGAAGACGTTCAGCGAGACCCTCTCGGGAGGGGCATTAACCTGGTATTCGCAGCTACCAGCACGCTCCATAGAAACCTTTGAAGAAATGGTCGATAAGTTCGTAACAGCCCATGCCGGAGCCAAGAAGGCTGATGCGAGAGTGAACGACATATTTGCTATTAAACAATCTCTGGGAGAGGGACTGAGGGACTTCCTCGCCCGGTTCAACCGAGTAAGGATGACTTTGCCAAATGTATCCGAAGGGATGGTGGTCGCTGCTTTTCAGAACGGGCTGAGTAGGGATGGTTCGAGGGCAACTAGGAAACTATTGAGTCGGTTGATGAAGTACCCCCAACTACTTGGGATGAAATCCACAATGCTTATTATGCCGAGGTCCATGCAGATGAGGACGACCTCAACAGACCAAACCAGAGACTAACCTCGGTACAAGCCGAAACAAGAAAGGATCGAAGAGACAACGCCAAAAGTGATCCTTTAATCCCACGACCTAACAGGGAACGGCATCGGACATATATCAGGGCGGCCGTTGCGCCCTCTCCCCGCTACGAAGAGGGTCCACCCAGACCAAGGACGGGAACTTATCGGAACAACCGAGGTATGCCTCCTCAATTATCTGCTCACAATTTTTGTGTATCACCTACAGAGATAGTCTACGCTCTAGAAAAACACGGACGGAAAGTAAAGTGGCCGCCGAAGATGAGATCGGACCCAAATGAACCTATTTTGTTGCTCTGCAGGATTCTAATAATGAAACATTTGGCTAGTGGGGCTATCTATGAATGTAGAAACTTTTTTGTTTTGTTTTTTCATGTGTATTTGTGGGCATCAAATGACCTCTGTTTTCTTGATTTCTTAATTACTTATTGCTAGCTTCCCTAAAAGTATTTATTATTCTCTCGACAAGAAATGAATGATAGGATTTGAATTATAAGGGCCAACACATTATATTTGTGCGAAATTAGAAGTTTATTTTTTATATATGAAAAATTACTTGTTAAGAAACTGAATGAAAGTGTAGACATCGAAATTATAATGGATCAAGCTAAATCCTAAATTCAAGATACTACAAGACCTCTTGAAACTCTAGGAGTGTGTCAGTGTTGCTTGAAGGCTACTCTACCAAAACCCTAGGTCACTCCTATAAAAAGGGTTTCATAATCCTTTAAAAAAGATCTCAAAAAATGGAGATCATCTTGAAAATCCCATAAACTCACGGGATATTCACAAAGAGATAAGAAGTGGCTGGATAATTCTTGATAATCAAATACTTCAAGAAGATCCACAACACACTTCATGGATATCAAATAAATCCATGAAAGCCCGCACCGTCCTACGTTCGAGAAACACGCTGTTCTAGCCCTCGAATCACGGAGATAATCAGGAGAGAAGAATCAAGGGGATAACAAAATTGTACCCGCGTCTTTTTATGAATAAAATTATGTTTCTTCAAATTTATATTGTGGTTGCAATTTATTTTTGTATCACATATAATTTGTTGC